CTCTCCATTGTTATTTTAGATTATTTTACGTTGAGATTGTCATAAACAATATTATATTAAATTTTTACTAGTTTTATTTAAGTTTATATTGAAATTAAATAATATTTTATTAAATTTTAATTTGAAAAAAGAATTAAAAGCAAAATATCATTTAACAAGTATATAAATATATACCTGCAACTTATTTGCTACCTATTGGGTTAATTAACTACTAAATATAGGAATTCAAATATTTGCGTAAATACCAAATTTAAAAAGTTATACTTGAAAATTTTCAAATCAAATACTAAATATTGCTTATACTCAACCTGTAGCAAAGAATTCTGACCCCAACCGCACCAATGTAAGATGTTAGAAACTCATGGACTCCTTGCAAGCTTTCAGAAAAACTGAATGGAAAGGGCCAACCAACAAAAGCCCAAGGAAAATGTAATCCAACAGTTTGGTGTAGAGCGCTTACTTAAATGGGCAGGAAAGGAATATGATTTGCTCAGCTGTGCAGCTCATGAGCAAGATGCAACAGCTTACCTATCCACCGCAGCGGAGTCAAAAACTGGTTTCTATTTAAATTTACCTCTTCACTAGTTTTTTTATCTCAGTGTATATGAGATTAGACCATGCTGAAGGAGTAATTTCACTAGTTAAGAGTTTAAGATTTTAAATTAAAAATCTTAAGTTTAAACCTTTAATCGAGTGAAGAAAGCTTGAGAAAAAAAAAAAAAAAACTATCCAATGTTATATAACTCATGATCAGATATACAAAAAATAATAAAAAAATGAAATTAGATTATACTACGTGGCCTTTTTGTATTTTTAAATTGATGACATAGGATGCCTGCGTTCATGCTTTGCCAAATAGTGTTTTTGTTTCTTACATTGCCAAATAGTTCTTTTATTTTTAAGATCTATATCATTTTCACTTAATTTCTATGTTAAGCAATTTCAATATATTCAACGTTTTGAAAAACTAACAATTAAATTAAATGTTCTATTCATATATATTATACAATTTAAATTTTAAAGATGATCTAACATCTAAAACCATTTGATCAAATAAATTATATTTTCTAACATATTTAATGATATAAAATTTTGTATAATCAATAAAATAGTTTGACTATATTCAATCAATATGATCTACAAGCAAGATCTACATTACTAGGACATTCAATCTAACAATTTAAATGATTGTGCTATATTCAGTAATATACCTCAAACTATTGGATTTAAAAATTAATAGCTAATAATTTACTTAAAACTTAGAAGTGTGTAAATGGATCCTAACAACACCTGCTACTTAACTAAGCAATTCATTTTACTTCTTTTCTAAATTCCAATGTTGTTGCTTATTTTCAAAAGACTTGTGTTACAGGCTTTAAGATTTAGAAGTATTTCACGATTAACTTTTTCAATTTTTTTTTTTTTTCTTTTGTGTCTGTACCCAAATTTTTTTTTTTTTTTTTTTTTATTTGTCTTCCAGTCAGCCTAGCTGATTATGTGAATGGTTTCTTCTGATCTTGGAATATCTGCTGGACATCTTGTACGTATCACATAGCTCAGGTTTTCATTTTGCAAGCTTTAGTTGCTAAGATCTCAAAACGAGTTTTTTCTTGTCCGTTACATGGGTACTGAAGATTACGAAATCTCATTGCCGATGATAAGAGGCTAATGTATCAGAAATTTTCAGGAACTTCATTGACAAATTCATCCCAATTTGCTACCTCACAAAGTAAGGGAAAATCACTTTCTTGGTTTGGACGAAGGGTTAGCACACGTAGCAGCAGACAGACGAGGGCCTTATCTGGAGGTGTCAGGCCTTCCAAGTATACAAGAACAAAAGGAAGACATATTGACGAATCCATTGGATTTGTGGATTGGTATGGAAGTCATTATGGGATTACCATTTCTGGGTCATCAGAGCATTCTCATAAAAAGAAATCAAGGAAGAAAGCAGTGGCTGAGGATTGAGTGGTAAGGTCCACTTGAGCCTACTCCCATTTTTGCTTCTGCTCCCTAGTCTCATTTTCTATTGCTCGTAAATTTTTCATGAACACACCACTGTTGCTTTTGTCATTGGATTGGAAGTAAAAGTAGTCGCAGAAAGAAGGAAGATAATGGCTTTTAAATCCTATTTACTTATATTTTATTTAACTTTTTGCATGCAATAGTTAAGGCCACACATAAAATTATCGAGTTACACAAATTTTTTTTAAAATAATTAATTATGATATTTAAAAATATTAATATTTATTTAATTTCAATATATTAAATAAAAAATATTAATTATTTTGTTATTTATTAATTAATTCTTATAATTATTAATAATTTTTAATAATCAAATTAAATAAAATTAATATTTTAAAATATAAAATTTAAAAATTTACATTGTTCTAATATTTTATTGTTAATTATATCGATTTTCTATTTTTGCAATGGTTATATATATATATATATATATTACTTACTCTTCCTTTTTCCAGGTAGGAAATTAGGATTTGCAATATCTTGTGACGACTTCTTTATATTGATTGAAATTTTTGGGTTTATCTAAACTGTAATTTAAAAAAACAAATTAAGAATATAATAAATATATTTTTTTATAATTAATTTTTATAAAAAAAATTGACATTTATTTTAATACTATTTATACATACATAATTTTAATTAATTAATTAATTAAATTAAAATCAACAATTACACTTTTAATAAAAATTAATTGTAAAAAATATATTAATTATATCTTTAAACACTTGAAATTTTTACCATCTCTCTTTACCATTGAATGCTTTTCTGAAAACAAATTAAAGATGTACTAAATATATTTTTTATAATTAATTTTTATAAAAAAAAATTGACATTTATTTTAACACTACCTACACATACATAAATTTAATTAATTAATTAATTAAATTAAAATCAACAATTACACTTTTAATAAAAATTAATTGTAAAAAATATATTAATTATATCTTTAAAAACCTGAAATTTTTCCCATCTCTCTTTGCCATTGAACGCTTTTCCGGGAAGAACCAATGGATAATGGATGACTTGAGGTGTTTGATGGTCTAAATTCTTTTTCTTTTCCTTTTTATGAATTGAAAATTGATTGTAGTTGAATAGGATACACTCTCGTTTTAGTAATTGTTTTGTCTCTTGCTTACTTCTTCGAAGACTATCAAAGTGTATGATTTTTTAACAGATCTTTGATCAAGGATATTGAAGACTGAATAATTCTTGGTAGGGGTGTGGATTCTTCTTTCTTCAAACAATTGGTGTTTAGATATATTAAAAATCTAATTTGGGTTAATTCTATATAGATTTTTTTTTCAAATTTAGCACCTCAAATAGGAAGAGTGGAGCCTTCTCAAATTTTAATCACTTGGCAGGTGTTATGCCCCTTTCATCAATTAAAATTTTGAAGTACAATATTTGAGTAAAGTGTTTTGTAATTTAAATTAAATTAAATTATAAATTATAAATTATTAAATGAAGGGATACTCATATTTTTACGTTATAATTAGTAAATTTTTAGATGATACTATATATTCACATGAAAATCAAGCAATTATAATTTTTTTAAAATTAATTAAAAAACAATTTACTATGATCAAAGTACATTAGTGTTGATGCAACAAACCTTCAAGACCTCCTTCGTTACAATCTTCTCACAAGATTACCCTGCAAAGCCCCAAGGGTGGTCCTCGAGATAGACACTTCGATACTTAAATTAGCAATAATTTGGACTACGCTTTCAAGGAAAATATTGAAAGGGTTTTCTCTCTAGTATCGTACCTCTTTTGAGCAATGTGTGAACGTATTTGTATGTCTTGACAGGGCATCCACGTGACTTTCTTAATCATCATAATCGTGATATGATATGTCTAACAGGGTAGGCGTCTTTGGTGAATGTAACGTGCCTTAAAGGAGCAACCGAATTAAATGAGTGTAGTGTGTTTTGACGGAGTAGGTCTCTCGGAGACGGAGGGTTAGGTGAGGACTAGTTATTAGGTGCGAGCATCCTCATTGTAATCACCGTGCAACTGTAGCACTATGGCAGAGCATTAAGCTCTACCATGGAACTGTGGCAGAGTATTGAGCTCTGTCCTGTCCTTAC